CTGCTTTTCATCAAGATACACATACGCGTTGTTTTTTCACCTATCGTAACTGCTGGACACATACATATGCACGGCGCTGGTTACCAGTCCTCAGATGTCCACACGGCCTGATCCACTAGCCAACTACGGTCACTCATACTCATAAATGTCCGTCTGCGGTGCCTGAACCTCAAAATCACCAACCAACCCTGGAAAATTATGCTTTCATTCATTGGTTGCTTCGTTAAAACTCACTGAGTAATCAGTCCAGTTCCCGTTTTCCGGGAGCCATTTTCATCCGATAAGCAAGGAGAACTCTATGATGAACAACATATCAAAAGTGAAATTATTCAGACGTCTTGCAGTTACGAGGGCAAACTTATGGAAGATCCGTGTGTACACCAATTTCGCGACATCAAGATTACGTGACCATACACATTATGGGGCACATGAAGTGATATATACAAGATAGCCGTGAACTAAATATGCATAGACCGGATCCTTGGGACACGGGTACCTTGTTTGTCCTTAAACCTGCACCCATGGATGTTGCCGTAGCGACGATCTAGTGAGTAGGCGGGTACTTGTCAAAACTACTTCTTCAGAGCACTAAATTCAAAATTTACTTCACTTCTTTTTGCCGTCGCTTATACCATGTGGCTCAGTAAAAACGACAGGCATGTCGTCCTCAACATGCCTTGCCTACATCCTATACCCATCCTCAGTAATACCCTCACCAACTCAGGGCTCCGCCGTTGAACGCCGCTTATCAGCTCCGGCGCTCGCGTTTGTACACCCACCTTTTGGGTTTTTAAGCAACCCTTTGTACCACATCTCAGACGCAGCTAACACGTTGAATACCTCCCGCCATTTTTTGGCATCTTTCCGCGTATGACATGTTTTTGGGCCTCATCTTACACATATTTCATGCCAGCATATTTTCGCTCATCTTCACTTCCACAATCAGGTCCGAATATGTAGGCGACTGAAACAATCGCTGCCTATGCAACCCACTTGCCTCTGATAATGACGATGAGAATCTAACTGGAGACTACGAGGTCTACTATATCCCAGTGCCACAGGGACAAATATCTTTCGACCCACATTCAACTATACTACACCGCCAAAATGACGTCACTCCCGTCTTTCCTCTGTAAGCTGCCGACCAAACCTGACTTCGAGGACTGGCGACCGTTCCCTTAAATTCACTTTCTCACTTGTCGTCACCACCCTAATTGTGTGAAACGTAAGGTTTGTTTTCCCTATTATTGCACGTTATCCTATCTGACGGCTCCACAAACTCACCAAGGTTTATTGATTCTTCTGTTCCATTCCTTCGTCTTCCCAAGCTTCGACCTTCGGCAATACTTGGTTTGGAAGCCATGTTAGGATGTTATACACTCCACCTGTGATCTGCATTCTCAGGGATCCTCAACCGGACCGCTTCTTTCTACCTTTGCGAAGTTCCTTGGTCTGACTGAAAAGGTCCTGCTGCCTAAAGAATTGCGCATCCCAGCCCAATGACCTTAAACATGACGTCTCTTACGGGGCTGTCCAAAGACCCAAATATGTCAAGCCGATGATGGTAAGGCGCTACTGTACCTAGTTTTGTAGCACACCTACAACTATTCCCTTCACACGATTGACAGTACTCTCTCACCCACTCAGCTCATTAGCTGCACTGCCAACAAACTTTCTCCGGCCCCAGTCACTTCCAGGACTTTATTTTGAATTTAACTATTTCGGTGGACTTTTAGTCCGTGCGATTCACAAAGTCAATAATTTTCTGTACAGTTTGCATTTCGGCTTGTGTATTAGCATCAATTCACTCTTTTGAGGAACGTCTATACTCCAACAGCGACACCAGTGAGCTTCTCAAATTGCAATGTACACCATGATTCCTAAATTCCTGTTACCATTGATCCGCATTGCTAATCCCTCCACTTCATCATTCCCACTTCCAATTTAGTGACCTTGGCCATAGGCCCAGCGGTAGATTGTCACGAGGCTTTAGCGGCGGTTTTAGTTTTTAGTTCAAAGTGACCAGATAAACGTTGAAGAGATGGTAACCAACAGATTACACCAATTATGCTGCCTCACCTAGTCCGGAGTTCCTGTCATGTGTCAGGCCGGAATTCTCTTGTTTCTCCCTCCATCATTCGATTTTTGCCAATCCCCTTCGAATCCCAACGATTCGATCTAATATCTGCTCTTAATTCTTCCCCAAACAAGTAGCACTAGCAACTGTTCTTCTCTACCCGTGCCGATTAAGGTTAACCACGTCCACATCGGATAATGCCTACTGTTTACTACACTATCCATTTTCCACGCAGTCCCTTATACCCACAAATTCCGCCAGTCGTGCTTTTATTCTGGTTGCATCAGTGAAAACATAGCGGTATGCCACCTATCAGTTGGTAACAAACATTGCTGTTAGTCCCTTAATGCGCTTTTCCTGACATCCACATTTATCCCATCTTGTCAGTATTTCCTTCCGCGGCCCATCCAAGAACACCCACCAAACATTTTTAACCCTTCTTTCGCTTTGAAACACCATAGCTCTGACAGTACTGAAGACGGCATAGTTAGAAACTCTCCCTTCGCTTGCATGTTGCTCTCCATAGGACATTGCTGCCTCCGTGCCCAGCCTCATACACCATCTTTTGTCTTCTTTACGCCATCTTCCGTCCACTCCATTCACTTGTCCACTCATAGGGTAAGGCACCGTCTTACGGATCGGAACATCTGTGATTCGACCACTCCTGTTTCTGATCTACGTCACCGATCTCCCAGATATTCTTGCGAGTCCATGTTTACTTTTTGCGGACGACTTGAAATCCTGGAGTTCCAATGCCAGTGCCCTCCAAATGGATGTAGACGCTGCCAATCAGTGGTCGTTGGACTGGCACCTTCCTCTGAATGATGAAAAGTGCGTCATGTGTCGTTTGGAGGGGATTCAGCGAATGCCTTTGTTATGGC